CCTGCGCGCTCCGCGGAGCGGGGCCTGGCGGCGCCGGCCGAGACACCCCCCTCCCCGCGCCCCCGAGCCAGCGGCTTCGTTATACGGCCCAGATTTCGCTTTCAAAACCTGTAATTAGCGCTCCCCTTGGCTCCCAGAAGACGTACAGCCAACCACCCCAGATAAAAATACTCTTTTTTTTTTTCTTTCTTTGCAATGCAACTGTCACGAGATAACAACCCACTTACACCAAACCGCGAGCAGCTACAATTAATAGAAGAAGATGTGTTAATGACGTCCTCAGATTTATTTCAACGAGCAATGGACTAATTAGAGTCCATTATTCTGAAAATACTCCTACTGCATCTTATTTAATGGTAATTAGTTCTTCAGCTTTTTTTCAAACAGCACCAAGCACATTTTTCTTTCAATAGCATAATAGAAGGGTTTTTTTAGGTGTTTGCATTTATTTCTTCCCTTTGAATTGGTCAGTTTGCACAGAATAACATATAATTTAATAAAACCATCTTTAAGTGTGTTTCATAATGAATGAGGGATGTGTTTTTTCAACTGGCTTTGAATTCTAATTCAATTTCAAGATAAATGTTAGGGGAAAATATGAGATGAAATTTCGCTGGTAAATTTAAGTTGGATTTTTAACCAAAGTGATAAGCACTTAAAAGCAGGAGAAAAACATGGAGCAAGAGTTTCCACGGGGTAATGCTGAACAGGAGGAGGCAGAAGGTGCTGGAGTGCCCCACAGGAACGTGACCACTGTCAGGAGCATGAGAGGTCAGGCAAGGACCTCTCACTTAACCTGGACATTTCTTTGCCACCCCTGCTCTGGGTTTGTGGATTTAATATAGGGCTAATCACGATACATCAGATGCTCAAATGATGAAATTTAGTTCCACCAAACCGACACAGCAACAGTGGACAAACAGACTGCTTTGAAAGCCACAAATTAATTTTAGCACACGCAGAGTGGGACCGTATCGACTGAAGGTTTGTCATTGAGGCCTCTGAGGGCAGAAAATGGAATGTTCACAAGTGAAGCAGTCTGTGTATTTAAAAAAATTATTTTATTGATTGTACTGGTGTTGCTATATGCTGATATAAACAGCATACATTTTGAAAACAGGACAGCTACAAAGCTCAACAAAAATTATCAGGAACACCAGTCTAACACCTTTCCTTCTTTACAGCAAGAGAAGACTAAGAAAATACATGTAACACAAAACTACCAGCTGAAAAGCATACACAGTGTGGATGGATATTAATTTCAAAGTGAAACTGAAGTCACAGAACAGATATGGACGTTCAGAATGGCATCAGCTTTGCTTGGAAACCTGTTCCAAATGAATCCCTTCCAAAGAAGAGTAAGTGGTTCCTTCATGCTGATATAGTACTTGTCTTTCAGCAGCAGGTACAGTTAGTCTTGTAACACAGTCGCATTCATTTCGTGGAGTTAAGCAAGCCAGACTCGTACTGCAAATGGCCAGGAAGGCAAACCCAGGCAACAAGAGTCTTCAGCTTGTTTTGGAATCAGACCCCAGAGGTGGATCTCAATTTGTCAAGCTAGTGTTTAGTGCTTCAGAAAAAACAAACTAAAGACTCTGATCTTAGTATTCGCAGTATTTATAGCTGAAAATCATATCTAAGCTCTTACATCTGTCTACTGGAAGTTTTGTGCCACACTTGCGTAAGACTGGGAGCACCACCAGCTGACATTAATTTTTATGCAGAGCTTTTCAGATGCCTTCCAGCACAGAGAAGTGTTATTTCATTTTTCTACCAGCTCTCAACCCGCTGAACAACCTACGGAAGGATTCAAAGATTTAATTTTAACTTTATATGTAACAGACTCAACATAACAGACTAAGTCCAAGAAACAGGAGGTAAACATTTTTATTAAACCATTTACATAATTCATCTAGATTAACATTGTTAGATATTTGTACTTACACAAATTTAGGTTTTGGTTATTTTTCATTACAAAGTTTCTTCTAACTGCCAAAATCACTCACCACAACTAAGAAACCCATGAAGACACTGCCAGTACTGTAAAACAAAACACATATCTGAGTATCCAGGCACCACTTTAGAATTCTCTATCTTAAAGCATAGCTTTTCTTGAAACACTTAAGAGAATTCAAAAACATTCACTACCAGAGAAGAAATACATTTCATATCAACACTTCCAAATGTACTCATCTGACACGGCTAAACGTTCCCTGTATTAAAAAAAAAGTTGTACTTTTCCATTCTTCTTTATCAGATTTTTTTGTTGAATCATTTTCTGCCTTTTTTTGGTCACACAGCTGAGTCTACAGCCTCTAAACAGCTCTATATTGTAATAATTTCTTTGATTGTTCCCATAACAATTCCATAGACCATGGCAGCAACGCTGTGGTTTATATCATCAAACTGCCAAGGAAAATGTCAAGCTGCTCCCCAAGCCATCCAGTTTAAAAATCTGTTAACAGAAACCTCCTTTCTGAACTTTTTAAAAAGTTGAACAACTTGTTAGTACAAAATCTAAGCCATCTTCAAAACACTGTCAAATTTAAGAAACACTTAGGCATTTATCATCAAGGTGAAATATTTCCACTGCTATCCTTAGGGTGAGGAGCAGCTCACAGTCTGCAAAAGGTCCTAACTGCATCAGCCTGAAGCCAGATGCACTGACTTCCAGTATTTTTCAGCAAGAAACTTCGTGCTCTCAAGAGGTTTTGCATTAACCTTGCTGGAAAATTGCACACCAGATTCAGCAGAGCTCTGAAGCATGTTCCTAATTTTACGTCAGGAGAACATAAACCTGTGTTTACATGTTTGGTTGAATCAAAACCTAAACCCTCTGTTTTTCCCCAGAACTGGCTTGTTGCGGTTAGCTGAGGAGCAACTTCACCCACCTTGCTCTGCTGGTGTCTCTCGACCTGAACTTCAAGAGATCACTTCTGAGGGGGAGGGAATTTCATTTTTGGTGCTTCTCCTATCTATTTTTTTTTATCTCGTGACAATACAAGGACAATGTTGTTACAGGCAGGTTTGGGGGATGACAGCTCCACCAGACACTGCACAAACATATTCAAATCACTCTATGTAATCCACCAAGCAGACAAACAGTTGTAGATTTTGGTGCACTGTCTCGACATATTTGTTATATTCAGCCAAATAAAGACAGTCTTTTATCTTGAGCAATCCACAGCCCTAAGATTCTAGATCAAGGAAGCTGACATCAGGTAGAGTAGGCTGACTTTTGGTGGTCTGGTTTGGAATTGCTAAGAATTACCATGACAGTTTTCATACAAACTTAAAATAAAATATTTATGCTACTTCAATGAAACCAAAAGACACTTGAACCCTGCTTCAAATGTTAGCATATTTAACTGTTCAACTAGTTTTCCGGGGGGATATTTTCTCATTAATCCAGTTTACATAGTTTGTCACTCGTGTGTACACTCCAGGTTTGTTGACTCTGCCACAGCCATCTCCCCAGCTGATAACTCCATAGAGGTAAGAGATTTCATTCTTCTCACAGGCCAGAGGCCCACCAGAATCTCCCTGTGTTAAAAGTAAGCAAAGATTATTCAATTTGATAGAAAGCAGTTGGAAAAAGGTCAGTTTGGTAAAATCCTAAATTAAGAATGTTAGCATAATAGCATAATAGAAAAAAAAAAAAAAAAAAAACCACCAAAAAAAACCCACAACATGGAAGCAGTGGTCTCCTGAAGTTTCATTATAGAAAGTTTTTTTAGTCATACCTCTAATATGATTGTGGGTTTTTTTAATTCCACATGGAATAGAAGTATCAAAATACCACATTTTGTTTAAAAATTTTAAATTCTTTTAGATTCAGACACCTACAGAAAAGCATGGTTGATTTGGGTCACTTGCAATGGGAGTAAGCAAGTCTCTGAGGCTTACACAATGTTGTAATATGGGCTCTGCATGGATGGATTACATAAGGCAGAGTATTTGGAGAGTTTCTCAATGCAGCTTATTGCAACTGTCAGAGATCACAAAAGTTTTCAAAGAAGGGTGTTGCATACATAAACATTTTTCCATGTGACTGTGGGATGCTATAATTTTACGTGGCATATGGGGTTTTTGCCTCGGTTGAATTTGATGCTACTAAGCATTCACATTGTCATTAAAACCATAAACTGAAAATAAGAACAAACTACTGCTTCATAACACACTATGGCAAGGATGAATTTGGAACATTTATACTTATTTAAAAGCTTGCAAGCATTCAGGAAAGGGATTTTTATTATTATTACTCTTAGACTGACTTCCTGCAGAAATGAAAAGGCAAATGTGACTTAAAGGGTACTGGTGAAAAGAGCCACCACGCTAGTTGTTTGACACGAAGGAGAAATATATTTTTTCCTATTTAAAAAGAAAATCCCTTGAGAGCAAAGTAGGTAGTAAAATTGTGCTGCCTTTAGACTAGGAGATTTCTGTGATAAATGAGGTACATCAAATGAGGTCTTGTATCCGAGATCAATTTACTTCTCAAAACTTCAATATCAGTGCACTGACTAAAAAAAAAAAAAAAAAAAAAAAAGTTTCCAAGAAAATCTTTAAAAAATAATCAAGCAGAACACATTGTCTACTTGGTATTTCTTGATCTTGAAATATTTTTATACATAACAGATTGTTTATAGTTTAATTTCCATGCATTGAGAAAACTCAGAGGTCAGCTACATTTGTTGTGACATTAAGAGGTCTACACTGTTTCTCCTCAGACCACACTACAAGTCTGCCAACAGGGGGGAAAAAAAAAGAATTATTGATTCACTAATAATGATTTCATGTCACGAGCACTTTTCTTCATCAACATCTGTGACTCTAAACCACTATTTCTCCCACTTTGCAACTCTCTCCAGACCACTTGTCATTGTGCAGCCCCTCTCTCATTCCCTCTGCTTTCTCCTTTCTCCCTCTCATTCCTGATTAACTCTGTTTTTTCCATAGCAGGGAACAAGAACGAGCTATAAAGCTGCATCTTGTATTTGTACTTCCTGACTAAGGCAAGGAAAACTGATCAAGCAAGGTAGTGTCTAGTTCTCTGGCAAGTACGAACACTTGCAGCCAGTAACTACAATAACTACAATCAGTTCTCAGCCCTGGCCTGGAAACCCTGAGCTCCTGCTGGTTTTGAACACTTTTACGATCACTATAGGGGTTCCAGCACACAATATACATGACATTCTTTGCTTTACTTAATCTCACTGCCAGCTATTAGCTACGTGCTGCCTGATACTAAATTTATGCTAATAGTGCATTTTATCTTCAAAATGAAGATAAAATCAGAAGGTTTCTGTAAGGAATAATCTGATCCTTCATTTAAAAAATAGTCTCATCTATTACCACAACAATTCTACACCCTTATTCAGAGCCAGGGTGTGACATAACTCAAAAGGAGATGCAAAGTAGTAAGAACATGAGGTCATTTTATAAAGGACTGAAGTCATGAAACACAGTTTCCAACCGACTGACATTCTACACCATTAAATCCCATCCACTACAGCAACCTCAGCTCCTTCCTCCTCCAAACCTGGCCACTGCTCTCCACCTCCTACCTGGGTACCCTTATTACCAGTCAGGCAAGAGGCAGCAGCTCAGGGATTTGGCTCCGCACAGATACACGCTGGTTGCACTCCCAGCTGGCCAGCAAACCATTCTTGCAAAAAACCAAAACCAGCTTGCAAGACTGCAAGCCCAGCCAGGAGCTAAAGCAACTCACCCCCCGGGGCACAGCCACTGCCTTTTATACAGGAAGGAGGAATATAACACCCTGGAGGTTTTTTTCCCTTCCGTAGAACTTAATTGACATTGAACATCTTAAAAAATTAAGGTGGAAGCAAACAGTGCAGTCACATAAGTTTCTTTTCTTTAGGAATGCTTCTTTTCTTTAGGAACCTTTCTTTTCTTTAGGAACACTGTAACATCAAAAGAAAGCACTGTAACACTGCAGCATTTCTGACAATAATATACATTTATATTCTCTGCCTAGAAATGATTCACAACATTACCTGACAAGCATCAGATTTGCTGTCAAAGTAGCCAGCACAGAACATATTTTCGGTGATTTCTGTTCCATAAATTTCAGGGCTTCTACATTTCTCCTCAGGAATAATTGGAATCAGTGTTTCTTGCAGGACATTTGAATAACCAGATATATCTTTTAAAAAATTCCCAGAGAGGAAAAGAAAATCATTTTTATAGAATGTGAATATCGTAACATGGAAACACAATGCACAATGCAACATATAAACACACTTAATACATCTCAGTTATATTTGTGTTATGAATCTCTTAAAAAGATAATAATTTTTCTAGTGATCAGATCACTTTCTGATCCTCCAGTCAGACTCCATGCCCTTTAAAATAACAGTATGCCATGTCCAGGCATTAACCCATTTTGGGTTCTCTCATTTCCTAGAGACTCAGGAACACTCCCCCAGCACTCCTGTTCTCTGCTCTTTTCAGATATGATATTAAATCATCAATTTATCAAAGGCTCCATACCTCTTTTTGCCTTTAGACTACATGTTTAGACCAGGACAACATTTGCTCATTCTGAATCTCTTACCAAAATGAGGCAGGCAGCTCCCCCATCCTTCTCATCTGTCTACATAGGTGTTTGCTATCTCCACATCAAAGCACACGGCCAAGCCTCATAATCCTGAAATTCCTCATCTGAAAGGATGGGATGGATTTTTCCACCTTTTTCCAAGATGGATGTAAGCACTTCTTAGCCCAAAGTCTATCTGGCTCTCTCCTGTAGGTATTTCCAAACTTTCTGGCTTCTGAAGGCAAAGATCTCCTCCATCACAGAGTAGCAAGTTGATTGTGTTTGGTTTGCAGTCTTTGATATCTACCTTGAGAAACCAGAGATAGGATTCACTTGACTAAGGTGTCAAGTTGTTGGCACCTACAGCTAAGCTGCTTGCTCCCCTCCCAGTCCACGGAGATCTAGCTAGCTCACAGCTCATCTAGTCCTAAAATGGATGCAAACATTTGGTCAAGAAACCACACTCCAAATTCCAAAGACTATAAAGGAAGTTCAGGATGACTGTTTGAGATGTAAAAGTTGTAAACACCTAAAGGTAGATAAAAAAAATCCCGCAGAAGTCCCTTGGAAAATATTTTACCAAACTATGAGTTGTATAACAAATAATTGAGCATTATGTTTTGATTATTATAGTTTTTTCTAGATACCCACTCTCATGCTTGTGCCCCCATCCAGAAATCTGACATTTGAACTGATCAGGGAAAATGGTGTTACTCTCCGGCAAGCAGATGGGCTGAACAAACTGGGACTTGACAGCACAACGTTGGCCATTCTTCTTCAGTTTAATCAGAGCTGGTGAACAGAAAATATAGGAGGAATAAAGTGACTGTTCCCTTTCTTTAATGGGATTGGCAGCAATGGGTCTCAGATACAACATTAATTATCCCCTAAGCCTCTCTTAATTAAGATATTTCAATCAAAGACAGACAGACTCATCTCAACAGCACCTGATTTCTCAGCAAATTGAAGGCTGAAACATTAGCTACTCCTCTTGTGGGAATATTTATTTTATGCTGCGCTCACAGAGCAGATTCTGCTTCACTGCCTTTGTAGAGAAGGGTGAAGATAGAAAATATATATGTTTCCTCCCACCTTAAAGTTAAATAACAGTGACATATCCACAACTTCCAGCTGAAATAAGTGTGCAAGTGCTCACTGCTTCTGAAAGTCTGGACACCTGCCTAATCCCAGTTTGATTTAAAAAATTAATTATGCAAGAGCTAGTGTATTTTGCAGTCTGTATTATCACTGAGTTCAACAAAATTCAAGATCTCAGAAATTAAGGAATGAAAATTCAAAACCAAGCTTCTGAAAGCTACAAAGAATTACATAACCTACACAACTTTTACTATCCCCTCATGGGGCTGCAGATGGTGTAAATACAGAGCTGTGCAGCAGCACAAACTTGATACTCAAAAAGATGTCATAAGTAGCAGAAACATTGGTTCCCCTGTAGCAAACCCCCTGTGTTTGGCTGTAGAGAAACAGGGGGATTTGTGCTTGGTATAAGGGCAACATGTTGGATTTGGGCACACTACTCCAAGAGGACAGAGCTGAGGTAACGTGGACACACCTATTAAAGTTTCGCATCGTGCCTATTGGAAGCTCCAGGTTTTCTGAGCACAGGTGTGTGGAAAGCAAGAGATCCCACTTGATAGCCTTATTTCGAAGCTCCAGGTTTTCTGAGCACAGGTGTGTGGAAAGCAAGAGATCCCACTGGATAGTCTTATTTTGCTGCTGACTACATTTTTTGGCCTTTGTGGAACACATAAAGAGTACCTCGCAGGCTAAGCCTACACAAACCACGTTCCAACACTCAGCAGCTTGCTCTTCCTCGCCTTCCTCCTCTTCCCCACCAACCCTGCCTGTTTCTGAATCTCCTGAACTTCCCAGCAAACACTCATGAGGTAGTTTGTTTCCTTTAGAAAAGCATTTTTAGCAGGAAATAACCCTCTGCTGTGTCAGTATAAATCACTGACGGGGCAGAATGTGCCCCCACATCTTTCCCCCCCAATTTCTGCCTGCTTGTTTGTTTGCAGTGGGGCACACCTTAGGAACTCCATGTTCAGCTGACCCTAGATTTGGACATTGCACATCAGCGAGGCACGCCACGTTTCAGAGTAATTCATAAAGTTAGAAGATCTCAAAGTTCCAACAGTGGTTTATTCCAGGATATTTCAGAGCAGAGTAATACCCCAAATCCAGTTCGTCTCCTGCTACGCTGTGACAGAGCTCTGACCAACACAGAATCTGAATGCTTTTTGCTACACAGTGGAAAATATTCCCCATCTGGGAGAAAAAAAGCCAGTACATGCCTGACTTAAAACATCTCCGATGCCAGGATATTAAATAGTCTCAAAGACAAAGTGCTCACACAGCTTGATAACCTGGGGTGACGTGCCACCTTCCACAAGAGCAGATCAGAAAATACGAAGCGAATTGCTGTTCCATTGTCATTCTGACTCATATTGTAAGGTCAATCAGAAAGGCATTTAGCTTTTCACTGATAAGACAGCTGATTTTTAAACCTATCTCAGTGTAAAAAATGATTCTTAGTAACATAGATTTTCAGAGCAGATGGGGCTATTATATTCATCTAGTCAGATCCTCTATACAATACAGACAATAGAGTTTTACCAAGTAATTCCTGCATCAAGCCCACAGTTTCTGGTTCAGTTGAAAAAAATGCCTAACCCCACAAAGACTTGAAGTGATGACAAATCTGCCATACATTTAGGTAAATTGCTCCAAAGGCTAATTATCATAATTATTTAAAATTTGCAATTTGTTTCTCATCTGAATTTGTCTAGCTTTCAGATGCTGTTATAACCCTGGTAGAACTAAGAACTCTCTGTGCTCAAAAGCTTCTCCTAATGCCTATGATTTTTCCCTTATGAAGGCAATTTTTGACAGATCAACTCAACTTGAAACTAACTTGAGTAAACAGAAAATAAAATTGTAAGAAGAGAAATACTCACCGATATCATGTTCAGTAGGGTTGAACACAGAATACTGAGGATGCAAGATGTATTTCTCTATTTCAAATGTTTGTGTTACATCAGTTGTTCTATTAAATATATGCTGTCCCAGAACTACTGTAATAGTTGATTTTAGTGGACTGTAATACAAAAGAGAGAACACGCAATTCTGTGATTAGCCAGTCAGACGAAACCTAATTTCCAACGGCTGTGTGTCCCGTGAACTGTGATAACCTCAGCTCCCCACCACATCCATTATTTACACTCTCATAATGCCTTGACCTGTTCCCCAGGCTTCCTACCTACTCTGGGCCGGGAAAAAGACGACCAGTGTTACAGCGAGTCCCAGGCTCTGTGGGTCCTGATTAGCCTAATTAAAGGCTGCTGCTCCTTGACAGCAGGAAAAGGCAAGCACGTGCACAGCTGCCCAGCTGCTCTCTGGCTAACAAGCATCTTCAGGGGCTGCAAGCACTTCTTGCTCTAGAAACTTAACTGGGTCAACTTCAGCCAGACTTTGCCAACGAGTACAAGTATTACTGAGGAAGAAATGAGGGGCCAAAAGATGAGCCAGTGATGGATATCTCATTTCTCAGGGAAACCAGGCTCTTAAAAATATTACAGATGTGGGTCAAGATTTTAAAGATGCTGTTAAACAGACAACTCAGGAACATCTGAGCAGCTTCCACCTGAGAGATATCACCACTTCTTCTCTGAGATTAGCTTGACCTATGTTAACTCTGTTGTCTAGGATCAAAAGCAGCTTGGTGGAGGAAGGTCCCAACAGCATACTGATCTAAGGGGAAAACCGCATTCCGAGGAGAATGCAGTTTTTGTGATTTGCACCATCTTTTACAGCCACTGATTGTTTACTTTAAAAAGACCACAGTCCTCTCACATCCAGTGTCCTAGAACAGACAACTAATAAGAACCAGTGTAACTTCAGAAGGAAGAGACATTTGGGAATAATTGGGAAGTGTTTGGAAAGACAGTAAATCCTCTAGCTTTGAAAGCAACAGAATTCAAATTTCACTCTTGCTTTAAAACCAATTCGATCTGCATGTGCCTAAGTCTACAACAAATCTAGTTAGCAAGTGTCTTCAACATTGGAGCACTCATGTGTTTTGTTATCCAGTGCAGGAGCAGAAAATACCTGCTGTCACGCATGACGCACAGATGCAGAGTGGTCAACGCCATTGCAAAGTTTCCCTAGTTGTGTTTTGTGTTTCTGTGCCTCTGTAGTGCCTGTCAGATACAAAAAGCACTGTGGGGTCTCCTCCAGTATGGAGCATGAAGCAATGATCAAGAGTGATGTACTTAGAGGAAAGAGATTCTAACTAATTGCAGCGCAGAGAGCCGGCAGCTACTCTGCAACAAAAACTGTGTTTATGGTCAATGAAGGAAAGCACAAAGTTTATCTTTCTGTGACTGGCGAACAAGAAGACAATAAAATATGCTTCAATCGATAGGCGAGGCCAGGATTTTCTCCAGTGTTCTCACAGTGGTAAACCACCTCCCTTGAAAATCAGATTTTGAGCCTGGAAAACAGAGTGGAAGTTTGCTTCCCAGGATAGTATTTAGAATAGATTTTAAAGGCACTGAGTGGTTCTACTATGACTTACAGGAGATTCATTGAGGAAAAAAAATAAAACAGGAGGGGTTGCAGAAAAGGAAAAAAAACCCCAAACAAGTTAGCTGCACAGGTATCTATTGTCGCCTAGTGGAAAACAGTAGAAAATGTGGCTAACTCAGAGGTACTAAACACACAGAAGAGTGCAAATTACAATGCAGCAATTATGGAAAATCTGTATGTACCAAACCACCAGCTGGAAGTGGGTGGAAATGTCCTGAATAGCTGCCAAAGTTAGTAGCTATTTCACAACATTTGAAAAACAAATGCGTTGTGGCTCCAGCTCCAAATGCTTCAGTACAGCATTCACAATGGTATTATTAGCTCTACAAGCTATCAGTGTATGTATTCTGGCACAAGGTTTTCTGTTTCTCTTGGCTTCTTTACTATGCAAAGGAACAATGGGTATGAAATGATGTAATATTTTTCACATCAATGTGATCAAGCTGATATCAGGGAAAGTGTTCAGCATTTGTGGAAAATGAAATATTTAGAATTAAGTAAAAGTCAATCAATAGCCAATATTTTCTCCAGTGTCCCACAGCTGGAGCGCAAAAAGACTCCAAAAAAAACCAAAACACCTCTGAAGGAAATCAGCCTCAAAAACTGAACAGCAGTTCAGTTCTTCCCTTTGTTTTTTTTGTAAAGCTCGGCCCATTCTATTTGTGTCAACCAGCAGTAATTTATTGTCTCTAATAAATCATTGCTTGGCTGTCTCAGCCTTTTTGAATAAAACAGAGCAATGAGCTAGTCATCTGTTACACCTCCAAGCAGGCATAAATGTTCAAAAAGGTAACTGAGAAGAAGGCAAATGCTTATATTCCCTTGCAGATGTCTGCACATGCAAGCCCCCATTCTATGTCCAGCTCAGCACTCCCTTATTCCTTCAGTTGGGTCATTTACCTTCTTTGAGACTCCTTAAGGAACAAGATAAGGGCTTGTGAGATAATAGGACTCTAAGCTGTTAGCCCATGAACTGCACTCAAATTCCTGGAAACTCCTTTTGAAACATTGGCCTTTTCTCACATACATAATCTCATCTTCTTTCTCACTTGTTTCAGTTCAAGTTTGCTGTGAGTCATAAACAGACAGTGACTATGATGAGGAGAGGACCGACTGTCAGACTGACGGGTGAGTTTACCTGTTAGCAAAGCAGTGCGCTGCTGACACAACCCAGCAAGTCTGAATAAGGCTTCCACCGCAGAAACTCTCTCCAATATAGATAGCTGCTGTCCAGGGGTGAGATCCAGGCAGAGATGAAGATCCTCCAACAATCCTAGGTCTCACAAAACTTCTTTTTTTGTGTCTTCTCCCACATGGTCTTCTGGTAACTGCAGAACTATCTACCTTGTCTGGAACCGGTGGCCTCCTTTCCCTGCTTGCTGAGATATAAAGGGATAGGGCATCAGACTATAAATCCTTGTGATTTCGAAGGACTGGAACTTTTATAGGAGCCTTTAAAAGAAAGGTTTGTTAAATTATCATTAAACATTCACATACAACTGAAACTCATTCAGTTCCTCGGGAGACTTGCAAGACTGAAATTTAAGCCTATTCCCAACACTGGCTACACATGTATTAGTGTAAATTAAATGCATCTGTGAACATCCCCAGACAGTGCTTCATTTTCCAGTACAAATGCAATCTTCACTACTGGAGGAGGCACAACTGAATGCATGATACACCACATCTTCATTTTCGGAATCTGGACTGCGCTTTGCCATTGCAATAGCAAGGACTAGGACATGTGTTAATATCTATCAAATGCATTAGAACAACAAAAAGGAAATAAAAGGACAAGTTTAGAAACTGAATTTTCAGATTACAACTCCATTCTAAAGTTCAGCTTCAATGTTAACAGCAGTTAAAGGGGGGGGGGGGGAAAGAGCAAAATCCGTAGGTTTTGGTATTAAATACTCTGTCTCATACATCTCGAGGATCCCATCTCCATTTACTTGCAGAGGCCCATTCACTTCTCTGGGCCTGTAATTCCCTGCTTTGTACCAAAGCATCAATAATTTCTGATGTCTTGCATGTTCTAGCAGAAAATTTGGTGCTATTGGGATGATTTTGACTGAAAGCAGTAGCGTGACACCGTTGTTATACAGTGTTTCAGGAAAAAATTCACAGATTGTATTGCAACTCCAAAAAATGCAAAAAGCAGCTTGTTGTTGTCATTTGATTTACTGCAAACACTAAAATATTCAACACTCCTGGGAACAGTAGAACATTCAAAATTATACAGTGAAAGGTTGTTCTAGTATCAATAAATCTTTCTTCATTCATTCATAATACAGATTTTAAACAAGCCTTTACATACCACAAGATGGAATGTCACAATACTCCCAAGACAAACTGTTGTCCTTCATGATGTAACACCATGGCTTCTCATCATCATCCGGATTTCTAATTCAGGAGGAGAGTGAATTACAAGCATTAACCAAGCTTCCCGGAGGTTTCCCGCTTTTTCCTCTTGCACAGTGCAGAGGACTGACAAAACTCGGGTTTCGAGCCATCTGACCAAGCGTTGAAGCACCTGCTAACCACTAAATGGGTGAGCAGCCTTTCAGTAGCATTCTTCATGCTTAAAGCTAACCTAGTCTAAGGTTCTCTAGGACCTGAAATCCAGACACATGACTAAACACCTGTAAAATTTGCCTAGAGTATTCAGATACATGAGCATGTTCACATGGTTTAAATACAGCCCACACTGAAGTGCTTTAACAGATATCAGCTTAGCTATTTTCAGGACTAAATCCCATGGGAAAGATTCCTTTTTTAGATGATTTTTTAAAGCGAGGAAATTCCAACACAGGTAGATTCATAAAAAATCCATACCAAGAATAGCTAGCAAAAATGAATTTGAGAAGATCAGGTTCACATTCCCTGGAGAGTCTGAGGAAATGAAAGACTACTCCAAGAAAATATTGTATTCCTCAAAAGAGGAAAAAAAATTAAAAGGGATATCAGAAACAGTTTAGCCCTTTGTTACCTTGGTATTAAAGAGGTCTTGATTTGATTCCATTAGGGTTTCTCCATGGTACAGCCTAACTGTCTTTATCAATGCCATATAAGTAACCAGAAATTTGCCCAATTTACTCCCAAGAATAGAGGCAAACTTTGAAGACCCCGAAAGATCTTCAGTAGACCCAAAAAAATAACCAAGGTAATTCAGAGCTCCAGATAAACAGTAATTCGAATTTCAGTTGGATTTATCAGAAGCATTATTTATTATTTTAAGGTTCTT